GGGGGGGGGGGGGGGGGTTGGCTCGCGCCATATTTTCAATGGGGAGCGCTCATAAAATCCTATAACCAGGCACACACTGCACACAACTGTATATTAACTTAAAGTGTACAAATGCACCCTTCTTACGACTATTTATTTTAATAGGGGAGACCGTTCGCTTGTATGTCACATTCTTACATTTTGCTAGTGCAATTTTTTTATGGATTTTTTTTTTTGGGGGGGGGCTAGACAAAATAAACGTAAGCCCCCCCAACCCCCCTAGCCCCTAAGACTCCATAACCTTACTCAATTGTGATGTCAGGCTAACTGGTCGACAATTGGATTTACAACTCCTGGAACCCTTTTTAAACAACAGGGCTGCATCAACATGGCACTTCAGAACTTTTGAGGCTCTCGTTGAAGTTAAGCAACGTACTATGTTTAAAAACATGCAAAATATAAGTGTTTGTATTCATAACACCTAACATCCACTTTGATGATGTCACAGTATTTGGAAGCAAAAGGTGAACATTGTAATAGATCTATATCGCTATTTGGGCTACGAAGATATCAATATATATGAGATGGATTGGCATTTAAAAAAAACAGGGCCTCCTCCTTCCTTTTTTTTCAAAAGGAAAGATGCTAAACTGTTTCTTTTTTTCTTTGGCCTAATATTGATATGGTCTCCATCACTGTCATTTTACTAATAGGCAAATTTTAGAAGAAAAATTATCAAAAATCTCACCTATTTCTGCGACTATAGAAATCACAATTAACATACCTTTTTCTCTTGCGAAAATCATGGATTGCTTGGTCTCAATCAAAAGAATGTTCTTTTTTCAACAATATTGACCCTCTATTGTTGAAAAGTGTACACCTCATGATGGATTTAATGACCCCAAAAGAAAACAGAAAACTAAATAAATTTTTTTTTTCAAATAAAGCTCACAGGGAACTGACTTGAAGATGAATTTTCAAAGGATATTTTCTACAACTTTTTCTTGGAAAGTAGACAAACCAAGCTTGCAGGAGCAGTTTTTTTTTTAAACTGCACTTGGATTTATTTATCAAGGATTGAAGTTTTGAGAAATAGAAGTATCATTTTCCTCTATTTTGTGATGGAAATTTGAGTTCCCCTCTGTTACGGTTCTTATGCTTCAAAGATTTTGTTTTTGGTTGACTATGAGGTCTTGTGTCGTTCCTATCCACCACTACAAATTTTCAAACCAAAAGATGAAACATCAGTCTTGCACCATTTTGAAAAAAAAAGATGATGAAATGTCCTGTCTGTCACAAAAACACATGTAAAACTTGTTTAGTTTTTACATGAAAAGATCTTTGTTCAAATTTGAATTATCTATCAAGGTGACTTCACCTAGACAGTAAAATGAAAATATCCTTTGAAGTATAGTCGATCTCATATTTCATTCATCTCAAACTCTGTCCTGTCTGTCACATGTTACCCATTTGTTAAGTATTTTTGTCCCGTCTGTCACAATGTTTCAATCACCAAGGTAAAAAAGTTGAACATACATTTTTGTAGACTCTTTGGGTTTTTAATATACTAATGTACATGTCCTTAAAAATAATAAATGCTTGTGCCTACATTTTATTCAGGACATAAAAATGTCATATTTTGCCCATTTGCTATATTTTTGTCCTGTCTGTCGCATTATTTTCAATCACCTGTTAAAAAAAATAGAACATACATTTTTGGAGACTCTTCTGGTTTTTAATATGCTATACATGCACATGTACATATGCACATGTACATGTCCTCAAAATAATAAATGCTTGTTCCTACATTTATTCAGCATATAAAAATGTCCCGTCTGTCACATCCCGTCTTTCACAACATTAATGAGTCTGTCATTTCCAGTTCTCTGTTTTGAATTACTAAGTAAAGTGTTTACTGATTATTGGCATAAAAGTGATTAATTTTAAAAGAAAAAAAAGTTTAATTTAACAGGGGAACAGAACTTTTTTCAACGAAAATCATATTCAAAATGTGGAGTGTAATTTCTGTCCTGTATGTCACGCTTTCACTTTTTCACTTATAATATACAGCCACTGAATCCCCTTGTTTCATGGATTGTTTTTTAATTTGAAATATAGAGTGTTTACGTGACTTCATACGTAACTTAGGTAGGCCTTTGAGAAAAATGGTAGTGTAAATCTGTACTGTCCGTCACGCCGGAATTGGCCAGATCATACACTGCTAAAAAATTATTTCCTTACATTTCTTAATACACATGTATAAAATATAGTTTGTGTTTTAAGAAATATTTTCTTGTGTCACTCCCAAGAAAGTGTTCTTTGAAATTTTTTTTTTCTAGTTTAAGAATACCATTTTAATGTTTTCTTGAAAACATTATCCTGACGTCACAAGTTATAGAGCTCCCTTCTTTGTTAAACTGTCAATAAAAACAATTGTTAGAAGTTTTGAATTCCCATGAAGCAACACTATTGTGAATAAACATTAAGGGACGTAAAATTATTCAGAACAGAAAATGATTGCTGTGACCCATTTTAAACATTACCCATATGGGATACAATATAATATATTTGCACTTTTACAGATTTGGGATGATGATTTACATATGTAAGTACTGTATATTTAAATTCATCATGACAAGAAATGCAGTGGTCTATAATTATTGTCGATAAAATCTGTTCCTTAGAAATTTAAGTGTGGTGTCTCAAAAAATGTGTTGTTCTTTTTCAAGAAAATTGTACCTGTTTTGAACAGTTTGCATTTAAATACAGCCATTCTTTTAAGCAAACCCCTCATTTCTACATCCTGTCTCCTTTTTGTTCTTTGTATTAACAGCAAGGTAGCAGTCAGCCGGCCGGGGAGCCAGCCAGCCAGCCAGTCGGGGAGCCAGCCAGCCGGGGAGGGAGCCGGGGAGCCAGCCAGCCAGCCAGCCAGCCAGCTGGCTGGAAACAAGTCAGCTAGATGTGTTCACTAAGGTAGGACTAACCCTTTGTTTCAGCCATTAGCGCTCAAATTGAGCCAGTGAACACCCAAGACCCAGGATCTCAAGACCCAAGTACAGTTTGCAAGTGGAGTCGTTCGATGGATTTCTCAGAGTGAGCCAGATTTTTCTTGTTCCCGTTCCATTATTGTGTGTACAACTGAAACCACCCTTGAGAAATGTAATTGCAAATCTTCTACGACATCTCTCATGAGTAGGGTTTACACTTTATAAACCTCTAAAGTACGGTTGAAAACAAATCAAAATTTTCATATGCTTTCAGAAAAAAAATTAACTCTCACTTTTCTCTTGTAGTGTGAGCATATTTTGTTTTGAGGATTGAAAAATAATCGTCATATAAAAAAAATGTATTGGAATTCTATTTTCACCGTAAGAATTTGACATTAATTTGACAAAAAATTAACTCTCACTTTTCTCTTGTAATGTGAGCATATTTTGTTTTGAGGATTGAAAAATAATCGTCATATAAAAAAAATGTATTGGAATGCTATTTTCACCGTAAGAATTTGACATAACATTTTTCCAGTGTGGTTCAGATAGGTGTTGTGTCCATGTGGGTTCAGTCATGTGGTTGCTAAGGCAAAGCTTCTGCCGTTGTGAAGCAAAGCTAATCTACTTAAGTACTTAGACGCTATAGCAGAGCAGTGAAATTCATGCACCACAAAAAAATCATGGCCTTTGGAACGTTGTGTTTCTTATGCAAAGTATGATTGAAAAGTTAAATGATAATGGAAGAAGAAATTCTTAGCTTCATGTCAGTAAAAATATTGCCGTTTTCATGGATGCCAAAACGTCAATACTGGTGACTGGTATAGCTGACCTTCGAAAACTTCCCCAAATCTCTGTATCTTTTTCTCTAGGAATTTCTCAAAATTGTTATTTCGCGAGAAGTTGAACACTTATATCATCTAAGTATATTCCGAATTTCAGCTTAATATGTTGTTGCAAACGCTAGTGCTACAATTTGAACCAACCATCTCCATGGAAAATATCGACGATGATTTCTGCCAACCCAAGTAACATGCATCGTTCAGCAAAGCTCCTTAGGTGCTACGGTTGACCGATTTTGGCCAAGCCACGCAATTTCGTATTGTAGATTAGCATATTCATCAGTGTCTCTCTGCGTGTTTTGGCACGAGTCTCGGTATCAACCAATGGAAGCTGGCGAAAAGGGTGATATTTATCAATTAACTCGTGAAGGAGGCTTTTCTCAAAATTTTGCTGCACACCATAATGATTAATATTCGTGAGGCTTGAAAAGAACAGCTGTTACAAACGACAGTGTTACAATTCTCAATGATGCACGTACTTAGCCAGGACTATTTATCCAATTTTAACGAAAGTTATGAACACATCACAACGATTTTTAGCACATACTTGGATCATTATGAGTAAGGTAAGCCCTGAAAGTTTCATGAAGATACGGTTTTCGAAACGGGAGAAATCAATTTTCAAGGATGAAATGTTGTGTAACCTTAGAAATCGCCCTTGGCAACCACATGACTGGGTTGGTGGTGGTGCATGTATGTGTTTTGGGGTGGTGGTTTTTCCACAGGTCGTCGGCTCAAATTGAGCATGTGTCATCGGCTCAAATTGAGCGTATGCTGCAAACACTCCAGGATCAAGATGGATTATGGGATCTGTATATCCCTACATCCAAACGCAACACCAGCAGGACTATGGGATCATCTATATCCCCGTGTCCATCTAGGGGTGGATCTTGGGTGGCAATCGTGGGGGGGGGGGGGGGGGGGGAATCTACTCCATGGGAAGCAAAATTTGATAATTTTTGGCCTCAGTACTATTAGTGGGAAACTTGCCCCCTGGATCTGCCCCTGCTGCAAGGCTCCAATAATTTTTACTTAATTAGCTTGTGCACTGCCTTTTTATGGCATAAACATTCTTTAGAAGTAAACCCCTCATTTTAGACTGTCATCTTCGAATCGATAGCAAGACAACAATCAGCCAAGCCAGCCGGGGAGCCAGCCAGCCAGCCAGCCATCGGAAAATCGTTTTTTTTTTAAAATAAATTGGATCACCAATTAGTGAAATGAAAATTTCACTCCCTAAATAGGGTTTTTTTTTTAGTTCAGGGGATCTGCTATATCCCGCTGAAAACTTATAAGGCTATGGGATCTCCTATATCCCTATGCCGTTAGGGCTTAGGGTGGTGCGGCGGTATCGATTACTAATTGGAGTCTGACTGGGTGCTTCAATTGAGGTGCGGCGAAAATCCAGCACAGATTCAAGGGGCGAGTTGCGTCCGCGTGGTAGGTCCGCCTTCCACGTGGGGCGTGGGTCCTACGCAGCGGCCTGGAAACCCTAGGATGCCGTGCCATAAAGGAGCAGGTAGTGCGTCCCTCTTTATAGGGGCGTGGCCCTGTATTCACAGCCGGCAAACGCTGCTACTTCCTATCAGACCGCATGAACCCGTAAGGGGGATGGACTTAGGGGGGCACGCATATAGGTTAGGGTGCTTTCCTGGTCCTTCGGGGCTGGGCGGGCGGACCGGACAGTCGATAACTGTGTCTGGCCCTCCGGGGCCTACCTTTTATCCAGCAATGGGCCTGACGATACTGAAAGCGTGTTGGGGCTGGTATCCTGGGACCTTCTCGTGGTGGCCCTGTTTAAACAGACCTTACCAGGATATTTGACCTGCTCAGTGAACAGGAATCAGTTAATCACAATTTGAATTCGTCATTGTTGGATTAACTTAAAAAAAAAAAAAAAAAATCTGTTTTCTAATAACAAAAGATATAAATCTCTGAACACTATACCATTTTGGTCCAAATTTGGCATTTCCATTTCATCCTATTTGAAACCCATTTGAAAAATTGCTCCAAAAAGTTGTTTTCAGTAATTCTGAATCATGTTCACTGCGCGGATCACATCAATTCATATTTTATTTCCAAAAAGGATGGAAGATTAGGGGCTGATTGCCTTAAAACACCAAAAACTTTAATAAAAAAAAATTCAATTCCATGACAAGAGGAAGTTTTGCGAAAAGAAATTCAAATTTGCAGTCAAAATCCAATAAGATCTTATTAGCGATGAGATAACTGTGCTTCAGTTTTAAAAAATGAAATATTAAGAACATGGGAAAAAATAACCGGAAAAGAAATATTTGCAAAAGGAATTGAATTAAGAAAGAACATTAATTGTTGCTTTGAAAAAAAAAACATGCTTGGATCATTGTGCCAATTGGTGCACTCTTGAATATGGAATAGGGTTTGGTGTTGAAATAAAAAAGGATAAACAGTGCAAGAGAACTACCTAGAGTTGAAGAACATCTATCAAACATCACCGCAGAATTGTTTTTAATTTAAAAGACGATTCTGGTTAAAACATTTGGTAAAATTGTTGTATTTATTTATCTATTTCTTGAGGTAAATTTCATCTGACAGCACAAATGCTGGAGGCAGATGGCATCAGAGTCTAGAGAAAATTGTCTAATCAAAACTGAGCAGAGTGAACATCTTAGTGGTAAGCATAAGAATGAACAAACTTCTTTTTAACCTGGCTGATTTAATTAACAACTTTCCAAACCTAAAATCTAAATCCAATGTTTTACCACCAAAATTAGATCCTCCCAAGCTTACTTTTCTCCAAAAAAAGCCTCTTAAAAAAACAAAAAGAAATTAGCGCTTGAGAACCACACCTTGCCTTAATGTGTAAGAAAATACAATGTAGTATATTGCAACTGTTAATTTGCATTGCTGATATTTCTTGATTTATTTTTGTATTTTCAGCAGGTGTACTGACTACGAAAAGGCAAAATTATGGAGACCTTGGAACAAGATTGTATGTTTACTGAGGTAACTATTCTCAGTTGTTGTTGAATTATTGACTGAAGCAATCTTAATGAGACAATTTTCACTTGTGACTCGTTCTTGCAAAACCTGAAGGTTCTTGTAGGCCAAGGCAAGTAAAACACTAGTGCACTTTAGACCATGGAAATGGTGTATAACTGCTCAAAATGTTTGTTTAATCAATTTTGATACAGTTGCATTTCTACACTGGATGGGGTGTTTTGCAAATGAATTTTCTAAAATTGCAGGAAGCAACCAAATTTTCATTTGTTTTTGAGACCTTTCAATAATGTATTTCCTTAAAATAATGTCTTTCCAATATATCTCTGGCAAACAGTTGAATTGACACATCTAGATTCAATTTCAATATGGGAAAAAGTGCTACAGATATTTTATTATAAATGATACTTAAAAACCGTTTGCGTTCTTTTCTTGAAGGTTTTCCGAAGACGTCTTCTGGCAGAAACATCTTGGAGGACATTGGCCAAGAAGAAGGTACAAACTACATGAGGCTACAACATGAAGCTTCACTCTAACCTATGATGTCTACTTTTGGAAATTTTTCATTTCTCTCAAAATGCTTCTCAATTTGGAAAGGCCTTTGTCTATAAAACTAGGAAACAGTCAAAATCAGGCACAACTGAACCCCCCCCCCCCAATGTTATCATCTTTGCCCAAATATTCAAAACTGATTGGTAATGAGTGATATTAAATGTTTGACCACAAATCTCGGTAAAATGTAAAGTTAACCCCTTGTCATTTTTTGGCCAATTTTGCGTAATGAAAGTGAAATTGCTGCAAACTCACAGTGAAGATGCTCAACCTGAAGCACGTTTCTACACGTCTCCTGGATAGATAGGACAAAATCAATCAGTAATGAAATGTTTCTTCAAAAATCATTTACTTTTGTGCAATACATTCAAGTTGTTTATTGATGAATACTTAATGAATCTCCTCTTGCATCAACAGGGATTTCCGTGTCGTTTGTAAGAAAGTAACCCTTTGATCAATTTAGTGGAAAATGTAAGGTTAACCCCTTGCTATTTATAATTAAATTTTGCTACAAATCGCCTTGTCTTTATTTTAACCTGATATCAGAGGTGTCCTTGCTCACGTTTTGTAACCTTTGGAAAAGGCACTTTATAAATTATTATTACCTGTTGAAGATAAACATGTTTTTCTTCTCCAATATCTGATTAATTCAGAGATTCAATAAAACAAATATGATGAAAAAACAAGTATATTTTATACTGATATTCATTTGGCGTATTCTGAATGACAAGTTTGTTTCGTCAAAGTTACTTGTATGACATTCTTAATTCTTTTACCAACGGAAGTTGAAAACAAGTTTACTTATTGGTGTGTCAGAAGTTGAGTTATGCTACAAAACATGTACTTGTCCGTGTAAAATTTAAATCTACCTATTTTTATCCGACTTTATTTAATGAGTAAGATATTGAATAACAGCTGTTGAACTGTTTTTATTTAATGTTGAGAAACAAGTACTGGAATAAATACAGTAAAACTGATTTAAAGCCAATCTTTGGAGTCTTTATTATGAATGAATAATACAGTGAATTTAGCTCAAGGGGTGGTTGGGTTGAAAGACTTGGACACTGTTGATTGCCCTGGGAACAAGGTTTATGCCCTGGGAATGAGGTTAAAAGCCCTGGGAACAAGGTTGATACCCTGGGAAGGAGGTTAACAGCCCTGGGAACAAGGTTGATGCCCTGGGAAGGAGGTTAACAGCCCTGGGAACAAGGTTGATGCCCTGGGAAGGAGGTTAATAGCCCTGGGAACAAGGTTGATGCCACTGGGGATGAGGATGAAATATACTCACTAGAATATACAAACTCAAATCAATCATTTATTTGTACCATAACGCTTGTATAAACCAGATAAAGAATTTAAAAAACGGTTATCTTGCATTAATAAGTATTTCTAAGTTGTTTGCAGAAAAGTCAATTTTTGGCCCAATTTAACAAAAAATGTAAGGTTAACCCCTTGCAATTTTTTTCAATTTTGGCCGAAAAATAAAGTTACATAAAATTACACTAAAGATACCCAAGGGTCCCTTAAAGGGAATATACAACATTTGCAAACATCGAAAAATAAAACTACCAAGTTTTTACAAAATACCTTACCAAATGTCGGTAAAAATGTAAGGCTAACCCCTTGTTTTTTTTTCAATTGTGGCCAAAAAATAAAGTTGCTTAAAAATTACACGAAAGATGCCCAAGGGTCCCTTAAACACATTCCTACACATTTCCTGGCCAAAAAGTGCCATTTAGAAGAAAGAATGCATCAATATTTTAAGCAAAATAAGTCCAAAATGATAATTTTTGACCAAAAACTGGATTATTTTTGCCCAATTTCTCAAAATTCTCGATGTTTGAATACTGAAATGTGCTCCTGGTGCATCAAAAGGTATTTCTGAGTCGTTTAGAGAAAAGTCAATTTTTGGCCAAATTTCAGTAAAAATGTAAGGCTAACCCCTTGTTTTTTTTCAATTTTGGCCAAAAAATAAAGTTGCTTAAAAATTACACGAAAGATGCCCAAGGGTCCCTTAAACACACTCCTACACATTTCCTGGACAAAAAGTGCCATTTAGAAGAAAGAATGCATCACTATTTTAAGCAAAATGAGTCCAAAATGATAATTTTTGACCAAAAACTGGATTATTTTTGCCCAATTTCTCAAAATTCTCAAAGTTTGAATACTGAAATGTGTTCCTGGTGCATCAATAGGTATTTCTGAGTCGTTTAGAGAAAAGTCAATTTTTGGCCAAATTTCAGTAAAAATGTAAGGCTAACCCCTTGTTTTTTTATCAATTTTGGCCAAAAAATAAAGTTGCTTAAAAATTACACGAAAGATGCCTAAGGGTCCCTTAAACACATTCCTACACATTTCCTGGACAAAAAGTGCCATTAAGAAGAAAGAATGCATCAATATTTTAAGCAAAATAAGTCCAAAATGATAATTTTTGACCAAAAACTGGATTATTTTTGCCCAATTTCTCAAAATTCTCAATGTTTGAATACTGAAATGTGTTCCTGGTGCATCAAGAGGTATTTCTGAGTCGTTTAGAGAAAAGTCAATTTTTGGCCAAATTTCAGTAAAAATGTAAGGCTAACCCCTTGTTTTTTTTTCAATTTTGGCCAAAAAATAAAGTTGCTTAAAAATTACACGAAAGATGCCCAAGGGTCCCTTAAACACATTCCTACACATTTCCTGGACAAAAAGTGCCATTTAGAAGAAAGAATGCATCAATATTTTAAGCAAAATAAGTCCAAAATGATAATTTTTGACCAAAAACTGGATTATTTTTGCCCAATTTCTCAAAATTCTCGATGTTTGAATACTGAAATGTGCTCCTGGTGCATCAAAAGGTATTTCTGAGTCGTTTAGAGAAAAGTCAATTTTTGGCCAAATTTCAGTAAAAATGTAAGGCTAACCCCTTGTTTTTTTATCAATTTTGGCCAAAAAATAAAGTTGCTTAAAAATTACACGAAAGATGCCTAAGGGTCCCTTAAACACATTCCTACACATTTCCTGGACAAAAAGTGCCATTTAGAAGAAAGAATGCATCAATATTTTAAGCAAAATAAGTCCAAAATGATAATTTTTGACCAAAAACTGGATTATTTTTGCCCAATTTCTCAAAATTCTCGATGTTTGAATACTGAAATGTGCTCCTGGTGCATCAAAAGGTATTTCTGAGTCGTTTAGAGAAAAGCCAATTTTTGGCCAAATTTCAGTAAAAATGTAAGGCTAACCCCCTTGTTTTTTTTTTCAATTTTGGCCAAAAAATAAAGTTGCTTAAAAATTACACGAAAGATGCCCAAGGGTCCCTTAAACACACTCCTACACATTTCCTGGACAAAAAGTGCCATTTAGAAGAAAGAATGCATCAATATTTTAAGCAAAATAAGTCCAAAATGATAATTTTTGACCAAAAACTGGATTATTTTTGCCCAATTTTCTCAAAATTCTCAATGTTTGAATACTGAAATGTGTTCCTGGTGCATCAAGAGGTATTTCTGAGTCGTTTAGAGAAAAGTCAATTTTTGGCTAAATGTCGGTAAAAATGTAAGGCTAACTAACCCCTTGTTTTTTTTTTCAATTTTGGCCAAAAAATAAACTTGCTTAAAAACTACACGAAAGATGCCCAAGGGTCCCTTAAACACATTCCTACACATTTCCTGGACAAAAAGTGCCATTTAGAAGAAAGAATGCATCAATATTTTAAGCAAAATAAGTCCAAAATGATAATTTTTGACCAAAAACTGGATTATTTTTGCCCAATTTCTCAAAATTCTCGATGTTTGAATACTGAAATGTGCTCCTGGTGCATCAAAAGGTATTTCTGAGTCGTTTAGAGAAAAGTCAATTTTTGGCCAAATTTCAGTAAAAATGTAAGGCTAACCCCTTGTTTTTTTTTCAATTTTGGCCAAAAAATAAAGTTGCTTAAAAATTACACGAAAGATGCCCAAGGGTCCCTTAAACACACTCCTACACATTTCCTGGACAAAAAGTGCCATTTAGAAGAAAGAATGCATCAATATTTTAAGCAAAATAAGTCCAAAATGATAATTTTTGACCAAAAACTGGATTATTTTTGCCCAATTTCTCAAAATTCTCAATGTTTGAATACTGAAATGTGTTCCTGGTGCATCAATAGGTATTTCTGAGTCGTTTAGAGAAAAGTCAATTTTTGGCCAAATTTCAGTAAAAATGTAAGGCTAACCCCTTGTTTTTTTTTCAATTTTGGCCAAAAAATAAAGTTGCTTAAAAATTACACGAAAGATGCCCAAGGGTCCCTTAAACACATTCCTACACATTTCCTGGACAAAAAGTGCCATTTAGAAGAAAGAATGCATCAATATTTTAAGCAAAATGAGTCCAAAATGATAATTTTTGACCAAAAACTGGATTATTTTTGCCCAATTTCTCAAAATTCTCAATGTTTGAATACTGAAATGTGTTCCTGGTGCATCAATAGGTATTTCTGAGTCGTTTAGAGAAAAGTCAATTTTTGGCCAAATTTCAGTAAAAATGTAAGGCTAACCCCTTGTTTTTTTATCAATTTTGGCCAAAAAATAAAGTTGCTTAAAAATTACACGAAAGATGCCTAAGGGTCCCTTAAACACATTCCTACACATTTCCTGGACAAAAAGTGCCATTTAGAAGAAAGAATGCATCAATATTTTAAGCAAAATAAGTCCAAAATGATAATTTTTGACCAAAAACTGGATTATTTTTGCCCAATTTCTCAAAATTCTCGATGTTTGAATACTGAAATGTGCTCCTGGTGCATCAAAAGGTATTTCTGAGTCGTTTAGAGAAAAGTCAATTTTTGGCCAAATTTCAGTAAAAATGTAAGGCTAACCCCTTGTTTTTTTTTCAATTTTGGCCAAAAAATAAAGTTGCTTAAAAATTACACGAAAGATGCCCAAGGGTCCCTTAAACACACTCCTACACATTTCCTGGACAAAAAGTGCCATTTAGAAGAGGAATGCATCAATATTTTAAGAAAAATAAGTCCAAAATGATAATTTTTGACCAAAAACTGGATTATTTTTGCCCAATTTCTCAAAATTCTCAATGTTTGAATACTGAAATGTGTTCCTGGTGCATCAAGAGGTATTTCTGAGTCGTTTAGAGAAAAGTCAATTTTTGGCCAAATTTCAGTAAAAATGTAAGGCTAACCCCTTGTTTTTTTTTTCAATTTTGGCCAAAAAATAAAGTTGCTTAAAAATTACACGAAAGATGCCTAAGGGTCCCTTAAACACATTCCTACACATTTCCTGGACAAAAAGTGCCATTAAGAAGAAAGAATGCATCAATATTTTAAGCAAAATAAGTCCAAAATGATAATTTTTGACCAAAAACTGGATTATTTTTGCCCAATTTCTCAAAATTCTCGATGTTTGAATACTGAAATGTGCTCCTGGTGCATCAAAAGGTATTTCTGAGTCGTTTAGAGAAAAGTCAATTTTTGGCCAAATTTCAGTAAAAATGTAAGGCTAACCCCTTGTTTTTTTTTCAATTTTGGCCAAAAAATAAAGTTGCTTAAAAATTACACGAAAGATGCCCAAGGGTCCCTTAAACACATTCCTACACATTTCCTGGACAAAAAGTGCCATTTAGAAGAAAGAATGCATCACTATTTTAAGCAAAATGAGTCCAAAATGATAATTTTTGACCAAAAACTGGATTATTTTTGCCCAATTTCTCAAAATTATCAATGTTTGAATACTGAAATGTGTTCCTGGTGCATCAATAGGTATTTCTGAGTCTTTTAGAGAAAAGTCAATTTTTGGCCAAATTTCAGTAAAAATGTAAGGCTAACCCCTTGTTTTTTTTTCAATTTTGGCCAAAAAATAAAGTTGCTTAAAAATTACACGAAAGATGCCCAAGGGTCCCTTAAACACATTCCTACACATTTCCTGGACAAAAAGTGCCATTTAGAAGAAAGAATACATCAATATTTTAAGCAAAATAAGTCCAAAATGATAATTTTTGACCAAAAACTGGATT